AAGTGGCAAACAGACAGTGATTATAGACTATTAATTTTTAAGAAGCTAATAATTTAACGATGTCTCAAAATTCTGTAATATTTCCCTTATGTTGTGTTTTATTATTCTGTGTACTTTCAATAAATTCGCAACCAGGGCTGGATTGTTTAACGGGATGTCATCCAATACCATCCGATGGGATAATCTCGACTTGCAGTAATGGACTACCAGCAATCCAAGACGGATCATGTGAATGTTGTCCTCCTGATCCTTCAACTGGACTTCCTCTTTCTGCAAATTCTCGTTATAATCCTCCTTTCTAACGGTATCTTCCTCCTCCCAATGGTGATAGTAAGCTAATAAATGATTAAAAATACGAAATATAATTAATCACTTACAATTTATTTGATTCAATTTTATAATGAATCTCTATCGCTTGAATCTCCATTAGTTAACGAATTTCCTCTCCGTGTATTGATTACGATTACAAACATATTTTTAAAATCATTAAATTTACTATGTTATGTTATTATACTGTACGACTAAATATAATGATCATAAAATTTAGTATATTTCGTTTGTATATGATTAGACGAATGTATTTATTTTTATGATTGATTTAAAATTATAATTTTCACCGTTTTGTTAAAAATATATCAATATATATAAACATATTTAAATATATATAATTTTCTTTGGTAAAGTTTATCCAGGCTTAACCTATGATTACCTATTACAATTTTTACTAATGCTGTAGACATAATTATTTTGTATGTAATGTTAATTTTTCGCTTATGTGTATGTATACAAATGTATACTATTTATAAGCTACAATAAATGTTTGAAGTACATAATATAAATAACAATGTCAAAGGTCAAAATCTGCGTAAACAATATTTAACGCAGTTATTTAAACAACCAAATAATCGTAAGTATATTAACGGTGAAAAAATAGTTATTATTACATTAACTTCAAATTTATTTATGTACAAAAAAAAGGGTTTAATATTTTTTTTAATAATACCTAGATTTCGGACATTTTCCCGTTTTCCTACGTTTTTCTTGGTTTTTTCCACGGACAAACTCCTTAGAAAGTTTAAAAAATGACCTAAAGTACTACTCCAAGAAATTTTGTAAATGTATTGTAAAACCAATGCATTCCTCGATTCACCCAGAATCTAAAATTGAAAATAATGAAATTGTTAACAGCAATGTGGTGTACGTTTTTCAAAGATATCTTTTTCCGGTTTTCACTTGATTTTAGAAGAACCATTTCTTAAATTAAAAAACAACCGGACACGCTCCACACGATGGGTGTGCCACTGTTGTAGGTGAGAAGTTGGGAAGNCAATCCAGCCCTGGTTGCGAATTTATTGAAAGTACACAGAATAATAAAACACAACATAAGGGAAATATTACAGAATTTTGAGACATCGTTAAATTATTAGCTTCTTAAAAATTAATAGTCTATAATCACTGTCTGTTTGCCACTTCGAAACTTAATGAATACGGTTGAGTTGAACAGTCGTCTGTCACCACTTTGTATTACCGTTTATTATAATCCTGTTTAAACAGATTTTAACTATTATATAATACTAAAAAAACCATCAATTAATCGTTATAAATAATGGTTTTGTTGAAGGTTTACATAGAGAAGTAAGTATTTAATATTTTACGAAACGTTGACATTTTTTATCACATGAACAAATACAATTATGAGAGATTTATTTATTACGAACATCAACGGGATACAGTAACTCGTAATTTATTATCGCCGGCACTATAAAAAGCATTCAATTTTGTGGACGTAGATTTTAAATTATAAATATTTTATTTATATTATTTACTAAACACATTAATAGTGTAATACAAATTTAATGTGTTTATTTTCTCAAATTGAAATCCAATTCCTTAAAACTCGTTCTGAGTCTACTCGGCTTATAACATGTGTGTGGGCGACTGTTGCAGGTGAGAATTTGGGAAGATAAAGGGGAAATTTAATGTATATCTAAACGCGTAAAACGGTAACTGTTTCATCCCCCAAAATTCTGATAATGTATTATATGAGAACATGGATGATTAGAAAGATATCCTAGGATAATGAAGTCGAGTGCAGTCACTGTTATAGATAATTTAATGTATATCTGAAAGCAATGTTAAACTATTGCTTATGAAAAAAAGATTTTGAGAGCAGTTCAGTTAGTTCAGTTGATAGCGAAGCTTTGTCAACTATATTTATATATATACACGAATTTAAAATAACATAATCGGTAATATAGCACATTGCTATAAATATTTACCGTTTAAACAAACGGTTCTCAACCTTTTCGAGACTATAACCCATTAAAAAGGTTAGATTGACAAGTATCACAGAAACAAAGTTTTTAAAATAAAAGAACTGTTTCAACGGTAGTACACATACTTATGCAGATTTAGTAATATTAGAGATAAAAAATACAACAAATAAAAAAAAATATTATTTAGGTTAGGTTGTGATTAACCCCAGGTTGGGAACCGCCGGTTCATCCTATGCTTCTCTTTCGGTTATTTTTTAATTATTTTGCAAAATGACATCCTCAATGCAACAATTAGATACAATTACCTTTTAGAAAAGGTGCTAAACTGGATACCGAGTATCAAAATGTCGTGAAAAAAAGATAATTTCTTCTTTTCGATTCTGAATAGTGCGAAGACGCTTATAGTTTTTATAAAGATAATAATTTTCTTCTTTTATCTGTGCACAACTTTTCCTTTGAGTTCTGAGCATTTAAGAGGTGCTTGACATTTTTAAATTTGGTTTTTAATTTTATTTGCTAGGTTTTATATGTATTAACCTGTGAACTAAATATTATCCGTTTTTCAAAGAAAAAACATCACAGCAAAAATTATGTATTTACTATTACAACAATTGTGATAGGTAAGTATAATTTTAGCTTGAAAGGATTTTAGCAAAGATAACTTGGACATAAACTTACGAAAAAAATAAACAATAGTTGTGTTATATATTTGTATATGTTGATATATTTTTAACCAAACATTGAATATTATAATTTTGAATAAATCATAAAAAAAATGCAAATTTCTAATCATATATAAATTAAATATAATACATTTTATAACAATAATAATTAGTCGTATAGTATAATAACATAACATAGTAAATTTATTGATTTAGGAATGTGTTTGTAATCGTAATCTAGATATGGAAAAGAAATTCGTTACCTAAAGAAGATTCCAGTGATAGAGAATTATTATAGAATTTAAATAGAATTAATTGATAATGTTTAATTATATTTTCGTCATTTCAATCGTTTATTAAAACTAAGTATCCACTATTAGGCGGAGAAGAATCCGCTTAGAATGGAGGAGGATCTTGTCCAGGAGGAAGATCGGGAGAAGGACCCGATTGAGGAGTAGGACAACATTCACAATTTTCACCATCAAAATCACCTGGAGTTGCTGGTTGTCCATTCTTGCAAATTGAGGGCGTCTTCGTGACATGTTTTGGAAAACAGCCTGGTGAACAAGGTGGTGCTTGTTGCGAATTTATTGAAAGTACACACAATAATAAAACACAACATAAGGGAAATATAACAAAATTTTGGGACATCATTTAAATACTTGCTTCTTAAAAAGTAATAGTCTTAAAGCACTGCCTGTTAGTCACTTAGAAATTTTATGAATACGGATGAGTTGAACAGTCGTCTGTCACCACTTTGTATTAACGTTTATTTTAATGCTGTTTTTCACAGATTTTAACTTTTATATAGTACTAAAAAACCACAAATTAATCGTTATAAATTATGGTTTTATTGAAGGTTTGCAAAATGAAGTAAGTAT